ATGCATCCATCTATCTATCCATCCACCCACCCATCCATCCACCCACCCACCCATCCATCCATTCATCCACCCACCCACTCACTTACCACCCATCCACCAATCCATCCATCCACCCAACCATCCACCCACTCACCCATCCATCCATCCACACATCCATCTATCTATCTATCCATCCACCCACCCACCACCCATCCACCAATCCATCCACCCACCCATCCATCTATTCATGCATCTCTACATACACACATGCATGTACACATAAACTCAACCTATGCACTATCTACTAAGTACTAAATGGTACATCCTGGGAAGATTGTTAAGAACTAGTCTTTACTTTTATCTATTATATGTGTTTGTCCATTTTAGTTTTTATCTTGTTTAAGACAGGGTCTCAATCTGATTTGAACTCATGACAACCTTCCTGCTTTGATTTTTTATTACAAGCCTTGGGATTAGTAGCCTGAGCCACCATGCACAGCCTGGCCTTTCTGTGTTGTATTCTTAAGTCCACAGCCCTGCTTCTCATGTCCCCATAGACTCTTTCTTCATGATGAGACTCAGAATGTTTCCCTTCTGTTCCACCCACAGCCTTCCTTACTTTTCTAAACTCTAAAGCTTTTCCTATAAACAAGTCGAAAAGCTGTCTGCTTCCTCTACTGAACTCTCAAAGCTCCCATCCTTTAGATTTTTTTCAACAACCATAGAATATAGATCCATTTCTGTTATGGGAAATACCAAGAGTGAAGAGTTGGAGATATCTTGCTGAGTCTGTAAAGAATACCACAATGGGAAGGAATAGGGATGTTATTGTGAACCTCGGTGATGAGGGTGTCTGGAGAGGTGGGGGAGTTCCTCCTTGTGAAACAGCTGTATAAGTACAGGTCACTTTGGGGTAGGGCAGGGTACTCGCTCTAAATGGATTAGGAACACTCCAGTTACCTAAGATTGTGTGGAGAGAATGGATTTCCCCCGTTCCTTTCCTGGGCTAATTAAGTGACTTCCTGAGCTTGTTTTAGAAATGCACTTCCGCCCCAGCACTACTGTATAATTCTAGTTTCACTTTGTAGGGAAAGAAGAACAGAAACCGATGGAAGCCAACAGGGAGGAAACAAAAGCACAGGCTCTAAGGCTTCTAGAAGAGCTAAAGTATGTAGAGGCATTTCCACACTTCCTTAGGGGAAGACATGGTCAGAAACCTATTAGTTGGCCTTCAAAATCTTTCACAACCTCCTCTCACACGTCCTGAAGAATGAAACCTCAGTAGATGATACCTCAGACCTGCAGGGAGTACAAAGAGAAGAATCTAAGCACTTAGGGATGACCTGGGCTCTCCAGGTATGAAAGGGCCTTCTAGGCCACTTATAAGAAACACTGAGTAGGCTTGCCGTTTTCCTGGCCACCAGCTGAGGCTGTCTAGACCTCTTCCAGTCTGCACCTCTACAAGGGTGACAGGACCTTTTCTAAGGTTTGTGGTGTGGATTAAAGGAGTCACTGTCAGTGCATCCTTAACCCCCAGTGCAGTCAGGAAGTAAGGCACTCCCTCTGTAAATCACAGCAAAGGGGCTAGGGCGATGACCAAGGTGGGGAAAGCCCTTGGTCTATAGGCCTGAGAACTGAGTTCAGCTTCTCAGAAACCATGTAAAAAGCCAGCTGAGACAGGGTGCATCTGCTATCCCAGCACTTGGATGCAGAGACAGAAGGACCCCAGGTACCTTTGACCAGCCAGTCTGGGCAAAGGACTGGGTACCTCCACCCATCAAAGCTCCAGTAAACCTTAGATGTTCAGAACCAAAAGTAAATTAAATAAACTAATTCCCTTGAAAAAACTGATTTAGAAAGAAAAAAATATCTGAACAAAATAAAGACAACCAAAATGACTCTGCCCCTCAACAGCACAGCTGTCCAGTGAATATATGTGTCTGCCTCCTCCTGCAGCTGTTCAAACAGCACAGATACTGAGGAGGTTATCTATGAACCCGAATGGAATTGTCAGACTATGGGAAGCCTCAGAAGAAACCAGGAAGGTCTAGAAATGTGTCACCCCAGTCTTCAGGGTGGGGGGTGGTGAAACAGTCTTTTTGCAAAGGTCTGGTGACTCACTGGGTCTTTAAGCCAGGGGTTCTTAAGGCCTAGTGCTAGACAATGCACCAGCTTTATCTATGTGCTCATGGAATCTGTGGGTTCCTCTGCCTGAGGCACCTGCATTGCCACTGGTTTGCAGAAACAAAAAGCTAGGACTTTTGTGTGTGTCAAACACTTTATACTAAAGGTGGTAGTTAAGAATGAAAGTCTAAGTTCTTGTCAGCTGGTGGAGGAGGGAGTCCAAATGCCCCCACTGTAATCTGTTCCCTGGCCTCCTTATACAGGGCTCAAGTGAAGCCTCAGCTCTTTCATAAATAGTATCATGGACTTGTTCCTACCTGTTCCTCCTACCTCCTGATTTCTGGAAAATTCACAGCATACCCCACATAGTGTTCATCGGTCCTATTGATACATACTGAAGTGACAAAGCTTTGCTTAGCTATCTGACTTCTTACTAACTATCCAGCTCAATAACCTTCAGCAACTGCCCCCATCCACTATGACACAGCCCAAATCTTTAAAGGGTGAATATCATGGGGCCACATGTTCAAAATTTCAGACAAGTTAATGTGGCCATATGGGTATAACCAGAATTTGAACTGAGAGCAAACCCTTCTTCTGCTCTAGCCTGCTTTGCTTCAGTCGGAGAAGGTGGTTCTTAATGGTATGACCAGGTTGAGGTTGAGCACACACTAAATAGCAGAAACTTTACCAACAGGCGCTCCACCTGGATTAGTTTCAGTGTGAAAATAAAGCCAATTCTGCTAGTATCCTCATTTATAAATGAAAACCTGAGGCTCCAAAAGGTTAAGCAGGTGGGCCAAAAAATTACAGAGCTGGGAGATAGTGGAGGTAGACCAAGGTCCCAGGACATCTGACCGTGTAGCCTACAGTCTGAATGGTGCTTACGCTTCCTCAGTACTCTGACTGGTGAAGCACTGGTAAGTGGTGGGCAGGCTGCCCTGCACCAGTGTCCAATGTGTTATACACACACACAGTGCGTGACTCGGAGACTCGGAGCTGCTTGGGTAGCAATCTAGCCCAGTGAGCACCTCAAAAAGGCTGCTACTGGCTTGGGCCCAACTTCTCTCTTTGCTACAGTTGGGTACAACACAGGTTCCTGACATAACCTGGTACAACACACGTGTCCTAGTCACTATGGACAATGGGCAAGCGTGTGACTAAGATCTCTAGTGGCTGGCTACTCTCAGAGGGAAGAAGCTCCCACTGGAGGAAGTTAACAGACATGCGTGATTGGCAGACATTTATTCACTACATAAATGTCTTATAAGTGCCTATCAGGAGCCAGACACTGTGCTATGTTCTTGTATATGCTCTCTTAGGATAGTGACAGATTATCAATAAACATAGTGGAAGGGGGAATGAGAGAAATATAGAGGGGGAGGAGGGAAGGGGAAAAACGGTGGGGACTTGGGTAGAGGGAAGGAACTCAAAGTTACAACCCAAAAGCTCTCATGGTATCAGCCAGGAGTGCTTAGAGCAGACACAAGGCCCTAGGACACAGAGAAGCTAGATATGACCTCAGAACAGTGGTCTGTAAACTCCCTATAAAGGGTCACACAGTACGGAAAACACACAAACAAAAACCCATGAGGGGCTGTACTCCAATAAAACTCTAATTACAGAAAGAGGCAGTTGACCAGCAGTTTGTGGAGATCTGCTCTGAAGCTGTGGTATGTAAAGTAAGGTGTGTATGCACACGTGCACATGTGTATGTAGAAGCCAGAGTTCAGTATTGGTGTCTTCCTTGATCACTCTCCACCTTATTTCTTGAGACAGGGTCTCTCCTGGAACCTGGAAGCCATGGATTTGATTAGAGAAGACAGCTAGCAAGCAAATGCCTGTCTCCTGTCTCCCAGCACTGGGATTACAGATATTCTACCACACTTAGCTTTGGACAAGGGTACTAGGGCCGAAGACTCAAAGGACAAGCGTCTTACACCTACTGATCTGTCTCCCAGACTCTCATCTCAAAACCTGAAAAAAGTATCCCAAGAACCCAATTTTGGACACTGCTATGTGAATTTTCTAGGTATCGCTGATCACACTGCTTCCAGATGAATAATATTCCTGAGAACACAAATTACTTCTCTTTCCAGTTACTTTCTAAGGTGCTGGTGGGGCGGGCAGCTTCCTGGTAGATTGGCAAGAGTTGACACTGGAGATATTTCCCAGTATTGCACATCTATCCCCTGTTACATAGAGTTCAGGAGCCGACTAAGCACCACTCCAGAGTCAAAGTTTGGGCCCTGAAACCCCAAGGCAGACAGATTAATGGTTACAAAACAGCAGACTTTCACCTCAATATACTCTTCTCTTCCCTTCCTTATTCCACACATAAAACACACACATGACAATGGCATACATGTTCAAAACCTGTCAGTAGGAAACTTTAATCTGACAGCTGCAGAGAGCATCCAGGCTACTGACATAGGCTTTACTTTATCTTTCCAGAGTCAGCATAGGAGCAATAGGAAATGGTCACTTTACCTAATACCAGTATTTTTCTCCAACAGGATGAAAGTAGATTTTTCCTCTAGAGTAGGACTCAGTGAAATATTACCAGGCAAAGCAGTCTAGAAAGTGGGTTAGCATCTCTGTCTGGGGCCAGGGATACAGCTCAGAGGATAACAACACTTGCAGTGCAAACCTGATGACCTGTGTTTGAACCCCAGGACCTCTATTAAAAGGCAGTGGCGTGCTTCTGAACTCCCAGGACTGCTAAGGTAAGATGGCAGGCGGAGAGAACCGATGGAAGCTAGGCTGGAGTCTGGGGCACACAGCAGACACAAAGGAGATGCTGTGTCCCCACAAGGTGGAAGGAATGGACTCCAGACAGTTGTTCTCTGACTTCCATGTGTGTATCATGGCATGAGCATGCCCACATACATGCACACAATGTCAGCAGAAGTGTGCACGGCAGGAGCCTGCTGTGAGAAGGGAACCAAACTTCTCTCTTGCTACATGTGTCTTTAGAGGGTTTGTGAGGGTTACCTTGTGGAAGTAGGAGTAGTCCCAGAGCTGGCTGGACAGATCACTTCCATTGGGAAGGAAAGGCCCTGGCAAGTAAAACTCATGGTGGTGCTTCCTGACTTTGTGTTGTTCAAAAAGGAGAATTAAAAATGAAAGGAGGATGTGGAAAGAGGTACAAGCTCCTTGTAAAACATAGTCTGGCATTTCCTCAAACAGTAAATATGGAGTTATCATGTGATCCAGCAATCCCAGGAGAACTTATGTTTTAAAACACTTAAACACTAATGTCAACAGAATATCATTCTTAACAGTGAGAAAGTAAGAACCAGTAAGATATCCCAGCAATTAACTGGTGGATGTTCAACTAAAAGGTGGTATAGCCACACAATCAGATACTACTTGGCCATAAAAAGAAAGAAAGTGAAGTTACATGTTACAGCATGGATTAATGTGAAAAAACATCACATAAAAAGGAAATTCTGTTTCAAAGAGCACATATTATGTAATTCTATTTTTATGAAATGTCCAAAGCAGGCCAATATTTGGAGACAGAATATAGGTTAGGCAGTTCCTGGGGCTGGGAAGAGAAAGTTTAGAGGTAAAACCATCATGATCACTAAAGGGTCTGGGCGTGTGTGTGTGTGTGTGTGTGTGTAACTGTGTGTGTCTGTGTGTGTATTTGTGAGTCTATGTATGTGTGTGTCTGTGTGTGTTTGTGAGTCTATGTATGTGTCTGTGTGTGTTTGTGAGTCTATGTATGTGTCTGTGTGTGTGTTTGTGAGTCTATGTATGTGTCTGTGTGTGTGTTTGTGAGTCTATGTATGTGTCTGTGTGTGTGTTTGTGAGTCTGTGTGTGTGCTTGTGTGTGCTTGTGAGTCTGCGTGTGCCTGTGAGTCTGTGTGCGTATGTCTGTGTGTGTGTGTGTGTGTATGTGTGTTATATTCTGGAATTAAATTGTGGTGAGAGTTGGATCACTCTGCATACACTGCCTGCCCATGGCAGGGCTACAGCTGCTCCAACAGGGATGCCCATTCCGATTTGTCTGCAGGGGAACCTGCATCGTGTTGTTACAGCTGGTCTGTGCAGACTGACCATGACATGGCTTGGGGCAGTCTTCAGCTGACCTATTATACACACCAGCCTACTAGACTTGCAAGCATCAGCTGCTGGCAGGAGAGGTGGCCGCCCTGGCCGTTTTTATATGCTCTGATTATTAAAGCTTGAGAAGAAAGTCAATAGAATCAAAGTTTCAGGACAGTACTTTGGACTTATCAGGACACATACAGTTTCAAATTTGTCCCAATTGCTGCTGGCCCAGGAGGCCTAGGCTGGGAATCTCCCTGCACTGTATGCCGTGTTTCCCACTCTGTCTACTCATGCCTGACTAATAAGTGGGCAGAATACAGGGTATGGGATACATATGGTGCCAGGAACTCTAGATTGGATGGCAGGCTCCAACAATATAAACAGTACCCATGGCTAGCTGTTAGACAGTCAGGCTGGGACCATGTAAGCCAAAAGGTAAAGCTGTCCTTGCTTACAGGTCATAGTGCTACAGTCTTTTTCTAAGATAGATACAAGATTCCTGACATTAAATAAGGAAACATACTGAATGCCTCCTATGCATTAAGTGTCATTTTATACACACTGTATATTAGCTTGATGTCCTTCCATTGTGCCCTGTAAGGTGGGTGTGTTAGCTGCTGTGACAAAGAGAACCAGGTCACTGTGAAGTGATGCCATTGCTTTAGGTCACACCAGAGTAAATGGTCAGGCTGGGACATGTACTGTGGCCTGGCTCTAGGGTTCAGGCTCTCTTGTGCTGTGTAGGCACCCTGACTGCCCTCCACCTCTGACGGTTTTCAGTCACATGGGAAGAGGCAGGTCTAGGGCCAGGCAGGGTTTCCCAGCCAGATTGGTGTGCCCTTTGCCTTCACCCCACATGAGGCCAAGGAGTATCCAGAGCAAATGTCCGGGTTCTGGAAGCAGGCAGCTGCCTTTTTTACTTCTTTTGAAGCAAACAGAACTAACTGCTTGTAACCCTGAAGGAGAACTTCACCCATGGAAAACAACTGTCACAGAAACTTGGTGTTTGCACAGGAATCCAGATTTTCCTCTTAGGTAAATAATTATGCCAAGATATGGCTTCACTTCTTACTATAAAATATGCTTTTAGGGAGGAAGACAGAAAAGGTACAGGATAACGGTGCATCAAACAGGTCCTGAGTCCAGGTTTAGGGAGTGCCACAATACAAACTTAAACCAAGATGCCCAGACAGGCCGCTGCTGCAGTGTAGGTAAAATCACGTTAGGGAATCTGTTCTGTGCTCTCAAGGTTAAGGGAGGATGAACAGGAGGAGGCTTACTGCCTACATTGCTGTCTGGGGAGTGGGCTTTGCCTGCTGAAGACAATGCAGGCCCAGATCCCAAAGGGAAAACAGGACAGAACAGGCACACTTAACCCCCTCCAGTGTCTCTACTCAACTACCACCACCCTATACTCCAGTCCCTTGTCTATGACCCTGTCTAGTCCACAAATGCTAATCACAGAGGCCAGGTACAGTCTTGCTCAGAGTTTAAAACAACTCAGTGACTAGATGTCTATAAGGGTCTACCCAAGGTAATACTCCAGAAGTCTGATTTTGGGGAGAAATTCCCCCAGGTAGGAACTTCATCCATCTGCTTCCCCTCCATTTATGTAAGGGGACAGGAAACTCACCATTATCGAAGACGGTGCCCGCTGTGAATGAGAGCTCAGAGTCATGCTCAGCTTTGCAGGCATACAAAGCCTTTGCCTTCCGGAACGGTGTGCTGTGTGTAGAAAGGCAAGTTTATTTAACATTGTTTTCAACCATAGAAAGTCACAGATAGTTCATGTTTCTTCTTTCCTTTCCCTGCAAGCCACCTAGTCCTTTCTCCTGGGAAGAGCCCGGACAAGTCAGCCAGATGGTAAAACAGGAGGCAGGCAAGTCAGAAAGGCCACAGGAGAAAACTGAGGAAGAATCAGGAAAAGGCCATACACTCTAAGAAGCCACAATTTTCCAAGGTCACCTTGTGCCTCAGAGAACCTTTACCTGGGAATTACAACAGCTGGGCCTGGGCAGAAGGAGCTTTCCTGGACAGAGTGCTTGCAAGTAGGAAGGGGCTCTGCAGGATATGAACAACGGTTGCTCTTGGAGGCTGGCAATGCCCTATGAATCCAGGAGAAAGTTCAGCAGAGCCAGGTTTCGGCCCAGGCAGGGGTGGCCGTAAGTTCCCCTAAATGTTCTCCATTCTAAATGTTCTGCTGGTGAGGCAACATTCTAGAGCTGAAACTCTTCAGGCCCGAGGAGAGCAAGGATGGAGGAGGGGTATGAGGTGGCGTGTGAGCAGACAAGGGCCCCAGTGAGGTAGTTTGCAGAGGACGTGGAAGAAGGAAGAGTCAGAGGCTGATCTCCTGTTCTGTTATGGGATCTCTTTGTCAATGAGTATTGACAGTGCTCTCTCCATGTTATCAGAATGCCTGTAAGAATATTTACATGTCCTATGGACTTGAAGATGGAACCATAAGTCATAGAATTGAAACAGAACTATTTGTGTGTCTCTTTCTAAGCGATTGTTCTATGCAGCCAGAGTTGAGGCTGGCATATCTGTGGTGAAAGGGCCATATTTTGAGCTCTGGAAGGCATGTAGCTTCTGTTGTAACTACATCATGCTACACTGCTGCACACAGCAACTAGGGACAACATGTAAACAAACCAGTGGGGGGATATGTTCCAGTAAAAAGTTATCTACCAGAAAACAGGGGCAAAGTTTGACCATCACAGGCCGTCATGTGATATCATTCATGAGAGTAAGGTAAATTTACTCTTCTCTGTCAAGCTTGACTTTGGCACCTGACTATTCTCGGTAGTCTGTAGACTTTTCACGGGTCAGAATGGCATCTAACTGTCAGAAGGCTACTCTTTACTTGCCACAAGTGACTTTCTCCAAGTCATCTGAGGGAGTACACTCTGGAATTTAGAAGCACAATTGTTTAAAGAGCCAGAAGGAGCACTAGCTTAAGAAAACAAGTCAAAGGATGTATGCCATTTCATTTAACTTCACTTGATAATCTGAGAGGCTCTGAGAGCTGGTGGTACCCCAGCTCCCAGTGTGCACTCGTTTCTAATGGCTGAGGAGGGGCCTGGTCTCAGATGAGGCAGAACATCCTGCATCTTCTGAACTGCTATTGCTTAGGGATGCCAAGTGAAGGCTCTCTTTGGCAAGGACGAGGCATGGGTGATGGAAATCTAGAGTGGGCCATTCCTTCTAGTCTTGGGTATTTGAAAATTGAAAGATAAGACAATTGTTATGCAGTAGAGTGAGCAGAATTGGTGGTTATCCAGAATTCGTTGCCAGGAAAGGATCAGTTTACTGCTGTTCTCTCTGGTTTTCTTATAGCCAAGGGATGATGGTGGGAAGGGCAGACCTGGGAAAGGGGAAGAGATAGTGCAGGGGCACCAGGGATGAGGAGGGAAGCCTTTGGTTTTCATTGGTTCCATCTGGATACAGCTCTTCTGGTCTCATCTCATTAAACAATAAGCCTGCATGTTGACTAGCAAGGGCCCAGCAGAAAGTGTGTCCCCGTAGCCTTTCAGGTTGGACAAAAGTGTACTCCTCTCCCTGCCTCCTGCCCTGACTACAGGGTGGAAACAGCCAGGAGGCTGTGAAACACACTGACAAGCATGTGGAACCTTGTGTGGCATGCAGGGTAAACAGGGGAGTGCAGGCCGCAGGAGCCAAGGTCGAGACTACGCTGAGGCGGGGCTGCCTGTGAGGACAGGTGGCACAGGGAGGCACAGGGCTGCCTCTGAGGACAGGTGGGCACAGGTGGGCACAGTTTCAAGAATCCAGGGAAGGCAAGGTTTCTCTGGATAGGGTTCTCCTAGAGGTTACTTATTAAACTCATTAAATAAAGGTAACAGAACAGAATAGGAGCTACCCATGGAAGTAGTAGGATTGTTTGGTAATTGGAGAACAGAGGCCATGGTCTCTAGCATCCATAATTAGTATTTGAAGGGATTCACATTCTATCAATATTAAAACTTTGCAATTTAGTAATGAAATACTAAGAAAACAGTGCATTAAAAGTAAAGATGAGGGTTAGGAGAGAGTCTCTTTTTCTGTAACAGATGACAATTAATGGAAAGATCCCAACTCCCTAACGATGTAGAGAAACAGAGAGGGACTCGGAGAGGAATGCAGAAGGGGTGTGCTTATGTATATGTGTGTGTGTATGTACACACACACACACACACACACACACACTCACTTGTAGTGCTAGGGATCAAGCCCTGGGCAATGTGGATATCCTAGGCAAGCACTAATCTGCACGTCTAACCCCAGAGGACATGTTTTTAATCCCCAGAAGTACCATTGCCAGAGAAAGGACACCTAGTCAGATAGCAAATTTCATGCACATAATATTTTAAGTGCATTTCCTTAAGATATCCATATACTAAGAAGTGCATTTATTTATGTCCAGTTCAGATCTAACTGAGTAGGGTGTATGTTTATTTGCTTTGCATATCTGGCAATGCTAACTGGGGAAGTTATGTCTTGTTAAAAATCTGCTGTTGCTGTCAGTCTCGTACCCAACAGCTCCCTCTGAAGGTTTCTAAGGCGTTTGCTTTAAGTCCTACCCCAGTGGAAGATCATGTTGGCTAGAGGTTTGGGTTGGGACTCCCTGGCTCTGACCGAAGGCAGCACTGTGGGCTGTTTGGTTCCTGCCCTTCTCTGCAGCTGGACACAGCTCCCATCTTCAGCTCTGGGCTGGGCCTTCAAGGGCACGAACAACTTTGGAGCCTTCTGCTGCTTCACTTTTAATTTTTGCCTCTGAGCATGGAATGAGGCCAGGAAAACACTCAGAGGAATTTCCCTCAAATGCCCTTGCAAGCTTGCAGAATGACAACCCACTCTACAGAGCATGCTCCTGGAGGAGGGGCCAGCTTGCAGTGGCTTGATCATTAAGGCAGTTCCCTGGGGCCCAGGTACAAATTAGGAGTCTGATGTGGGGGCTTCTTGGGAAATGAATGGGCAGGTAGAGAAAGCAAGGGCAAATGTTAAAGGGGGCCTCCTCCAGGGCCCGTGATCTTCCATTCTGAGAAGGTATCTCTACTTCTGAGCTTGAAACAAGAAGCTTAGAAGTGGCTGGACTGGAACAAGGAAGCCATTCCCACCAGGACCCCTAATTAGGCCTCATCCAGAGCCTGTTGTTAAAAGCCTTGTCAAAGGAAGATAATTTGAAGTTTTATGTTCTTTTAGTCAATTTGGGGAAAGGAGACCTGAACAATGGGTGTTCGCCTCCACCTCTTGCCTGTAACAGCAATTAGGGATTGGAACCAGTCTCTGGTCTCCTAGTCTTTCCAGCAGGGTCCTGATCTGTGCTTATCTAAGCATAAGCAGTAACCTGGTGACACCCAATGTCAAGCCCTACTGTGGCTTGCCTATTCAAAGTAACAGATTCCTAAAGGATTGTGGGAGAGCATCAGAATGGTGCTCTTCTAGCAGAGGCCAGAGGAGGCAGTACTGAGCAGCCGCTTACTTGCCTCTAGGGCAGCCCCATCATTCCCCTACCGCCCAAGGCTATTTAATGAGTGAGTGAGCCATCCTAGATGTTCTGCTCCAGGTCCTCATGGGTCAGTGAGTGACCTAACTGGAATAATCCACATGGTTTCTAGTGGCTAGAAAGTAAATGTCTCCCAAAGTGCCTGGTAGTTGCCTCAGGAATAATTCACAAATAGCTTAAGTGTTAGGAAAACAGTAATTTACTTTATAAAAAGTAAAAATTACTTTTACTCTGCCATGGCTTTCATTCGATGAAGTGACCATTTTTTGTTTTTGTTTTTTGTTTTTGTTGTTGTTTTTTTTCCTACAATATGGTTCAGACCATTTGTCTTCTGGCTCTTAAGTGAGGACAGAATGACACAATTAGTGTTAGGATGTCCACAGAGGAATAAGTCGTGTGCTCGCACACACAGACAGCATGGCCCTTCTAAACAGTGAGCATCAGCTTTATAAATGAGGTGAGCCTGTCGGGTGGACTCACGCCTAAGGAGAAAAGGTGGGATTGAGAATTCTAACCAAGGTCCAGGATGCTCATGATGCTTCCACCTGGACTCTGCACTCGGCCTGTTGAAGTTGGAGGCCTTCTTTGTCTGAGAGAGGCCCAGTGAGGGCCCCAAACAGCAGAGGAAGCCTGCAGGGTCCTTGTTCCCCTCTTTTCCTGGATTTAAAGAGCGTCTTTCTAGAAAGAGCTCAAGAGCAAAGCTGCACCACTTAGCTGTGGAGCTCTGCAAGACAGGATTGCAGCATGGCCCTCTGGGAGAAGAACTAGATCAAACCACTCAAAAAAGGGATGGTGCCTATTCCCATGAGCATTCATGGTCTATGACCAATCTAGTTACGAGTGGGTGGGAGGCCGGAAGATTCCTGGAGTCCATGGGGGCCAAGGAGGTGGAAGCCCTGAGTACTTTGAAGAGCAAGTGCTTCACATCTCCAACTTATATTCTGTGTTATACTTGTCTCTCCCTCAGTGGATCTGGTCTCAGTGGCTAGCTGTTAGTGCTCAGAGTTATCGGCCAACCTACAAGCAAATGGTGCCAGACACTACCTGATAAAAACGTGACCCCTGTTCTGGGCAGCAGGGATTAATTCAGAAATTAGGTAAAGGTTGGAAAGGGTATTTTAAAATGCCATGCAAGGCCATGCGTATTGCGCCTCTTGGCTTTGTTTCTTAGGATGGGATCACAGGAGAGCAAAGGAGACCCCCAATGTCCCTGACCAGCTCTGCATACATGGAGACAGGTCAGTCATCATCCGTAGTTTTACCTGGAGTCTTCATGGACCGCTTCTTCTGGCCTGTCAAAAAGCAAGTGCAGGTTTGGATGGCAGGGAACAAAGTTGACGAGGAGGCTGAACACTGCATGAAGAGAGGACCAAGCCAATGAGAGAACAACGGCAGCAACAGAAAACCAAACAAACCCTGCCACAGACCTGATGGGGGATGAGTCGCTGGACGTGGATGAGGTGGGCATAGGGCTGGATGGCGCCGAGAACATGGGCCATGATGGCGAGAGGGGTGAAGTTGGGCTTGGATTCGGGGGGCTGCAAGACATAACAACCAGAAAACTCATCAGCACATAGGGAAGCCATGATGGGAGCACAGGCAGTTCACAGGAGGCCAAATGACAGGATGCTAGAGCAGAACACAGGAGCATCAAAGTCCAGAGGCATGCTGTCAAGTCTCCGTGCTCCAGGTCAGTCCTCTGCATTTGAGGTATATTGATGCACAGACAAGCCTCTTTGGCCTGTCTCACAAATGCTTTCTAGGTGACCTGAGGTTCTCCGCTATCTATTTACCATTGGTCATTGGTGGCCATGCGTTGGACCTGCCTACATAAATCAGTATCCATGCATTTTGTTGCCTGTTTTGGAATACACTAACTTCACTCTCAGCCAGTCTTTAGCTTTCACTGGTCTGTGCTTCTAAAGTTATGTCTCAGCAGAAAGGAATATTTTTCTGGGCCACAAAGGCCATTCTGCCAGAAAACAATTTCCTGTTTACATTTTTAACTACATGGGCTGTGTGCCATTGGAGATCTGAGTGTGCATTAGGAGCACACTAGGGGACAGGCAGGATGGCTACACACCTTTCAGAGACAGCACTTATGGCTATGAGCAGCTCCCTGGAGATGTGCAGCCCAGAGCTGGGCTTTCTCTTGTTGCTCAAAGAATAATCCCAGCCAACAGACAATTTTAAGAAAAGACTAAAACTTCAAATCTGTCCATTTTGTAATGTGATGGGTGGCTGACCAAAGGATCAGAGAGGAAGGGCTGAAGTTACCATAATCTGGCTTATACATTTTAGTTAGCCATCTGCCATCTGACCTATTTCTGCAAATTATACAAACACCTTAGCACCTAGGTAAAAGTCACAGTATGTCACAGAAAGTGCAAACACTGATGGCTGAGAAGATGGGGAGCATAGCTAGTCATCTAACCCGCCACAGTCCCTGAATCTGAAGCTGGTTATTGGACTGTTCAAAGCTCTTTATGGAGGTACAGGGGATAGGAGTCAGTCCCAAAGGACAGTCACAGATGGGAATTTAGCAAGTGTGTGTGTGTGTGTGTGTGTGTGTGTGTGTAAAATGCTGTAACATGAAGACCTGTGTCAGCATTCAGAAGAAACTCTGTGTGAAGTTCATATCCTTGAAAACTGATGAAACATTTAATTAAACGTCAGCATGAGTATTGTACATACAGACTATGAATCCTGTAAGCAAGGAAGTATTGTTCCTTCGCTGTAGCTGAACTGTCTGTGTAATCCCTGTAGGTATTAAGAGATAACTAGTAACTACACTAGTGGCACTTGCTAGGATATTCAACAAGTCCAAAGACAGGCACTGCTGGAATTTCTACTTCGCAGACGTGAAGTCCTGGGCTACAGTAGTGAGACTTGCCAGCCTTTAAGTGACAGGGCCAAGACTCACCCTATGCTCTGACCCAAAGCCTGGGCTCTCGTACCAGTGTTCTGTCTCTGGGAACACTGTTCTGCTAGGCCCCCAAAAAGCTGCTGTTAAGAATCACTGATTAATGACCCATGGCATTAGTGATTCTCTTAATCACTGATTTATGAATTTCCTTCAGATGTCTACCACATTTGCAAGGGAGAATGGAAATACAGTAGCTGATTCAGTAAGACACAATGCATAGTAAATTCCAATAGACTCCATGGTCCTGTCCCCAGGGTCCTGTCTGGTAGACTCATCTAGCAGATGGGATTCATACAAGGGAAGAAATAAAATTCAAGAGTATACCCTTTTTATCAATTTGTTCAATCCATCAACGACTCATTGATGAGCACCCATAATGAGCAAGATAATAAGTACAATTTGCCAAAGCTCCTGGCTCAAAGAACTTAATATTTGACAAGATGCAACAGGTAAAAAAGAAAAGCAGCAACAGCAACCAAGACAGTAAGAATCACTGCTGGGAGGTCGGTGACTCTTGCTATGAGTTGAGCATCTACTTCTGGGGACTGTCACTTCAGGGAGAGCTGTCCCTCACCTATGCTGTCCAGCCTTCCTTAGTACCATGTCAGCCACCTAGGCCATGCTTGCTCAGGCCCCTCTCTGTCCCACTCCATAATGTGCCAGTCAGGGAGGCCTGAAAAGGGCTCCTGGATCATGGCCAAAACCAGAAAACTAAGTGGTACCAGGGGAGGGTCAAAGGAACAACTTGGGCTCAGAGGCCTGGTCTAATTTGTTCCTGTGGTAATACCATAGAACAATTCAAAAGGATTTACGAAATAGTTTAAAATTACTGCTTTATTGAGGAAATGCCTGTAGCTTCCTATCTCATCTGTACGGGAAGTATAGTCTGGGAATACAATATGTGGTTCTGAGTGTTGTTCTATATTCTCAGACATCTCAGCAGTTCCTGGCCAGGAAAACATGGCTGAAATTATCTGGGAGTGGGGGAGGGGGAGGGCAATTGTAACTTCTGAAAGAAGTGACCCTTCACGTCTCTTGTCAATTGCCATAACATGAACTGCTCTTCTAAATGTCTAACAGAATTTTATTTGTTTGTTTTAGTCATAGCAATAACATTTATTTGCTATGAAATGACCAGAATTTAAAATCTATTACCACTCTGCTGGCGTTCATGTAATGATCACAGGCACAATCTACAGGACTTTTTATGATGTTTTCAACTACTAAAGCAATTATGCTTTTCAGTTTACACTTCAGAGACGTGTCATAAATGTCCCCATCAATAGCACCAGCACACATTTTGATATGCTCAAGAGAGCTTATAACAACAGAAGGGCTGTACACATAGGAGGGATCTTCTAAGAGACACTGAGACATTCTCCTTTAGTTTTGACGGAATTCATACAGCATATAGGAAGGAGGAACTTAAAAGGAGCAGAGATGATGGAGATGTTGATGATGATGACAATGTTGTTCATGATGATGATGGCCCATATGTGTACAACTATCAGTTTCCTCTTTACTAGAGCAACAACTGGCTATAGGTTCTTTATTAAAATGACAAGAATTAACAACCAGCCAACAAACAAAAACCTCTCACACCATTACAATCCCAAACAAATCAGGCCAACAGAAAATGGTCGATTTCACCTTCGGCCCTAAAACCTCCAATAAGAAATTCTGGATTCTTTTCCCACTAATAAAGCCAAGCATAACAAACAATAGAGGTTAGAATGGGAGGAAATAACTTTCTAACTAGAGTTTGAGCAGATGACCCCTATAAAGGCTTCTTACAAGCCTCAGCCCAGCTGGGTAGTTCCCAGTTGAATACCCCAGCACATTTTTCACCCTAAATATTCCTGGAGTCCTGCCAAGCCTTCATCAAGGCCCAACTGTGGCAATAACAGCTTCAACTTTATCTTGGTAGGAACATTTGCTGGGCTACTTTGCATTTAATTGGAAGGCTTGTATCAGCTGTAGTGTGCTGGTCCATGGTGCCCTCAAAACAAGTTGTCTGCCTAGGCAGTTCCTTTGACATCCCACATGGTCTGAGAGTTACAGTTTAGGAAGGAGAATAAGTGGAAGGCTTGGCAGCCTGTGAGGTTGTGACTGATAGTCCAAGTACAGTGTGAAGCAATGTCATCAGCTAGACACCCTCTGTAGTGAGTCACTTGAAAGATGGGACGTGTGATGTACCAGCCAGGGCACGCTTGCCATGCTGTAAACAGCACTACCTGGGTAGGCTCCCAGTCCCAATAGAGAGGCAGCAGACCCTTTTGGGTCTTTAACCATCATTATTGGGCTTGTATAAGAGAAAGGGTGCTCTTAGTGGAGACATAAGCTCACCAATAAAAATGAAGTTTACCTTGGGCGAGGGATGTGTTTATCTACAATATGCAAGGCCCTGGGTTCAATCCACAGCACAGGAGGTAGAGAGGGAAGAAAGCTGATCTTTCCAAATTCTTATAGCAAAATTATGATTTTGTATAAAAATGGAAAAATATTTAAAGAAAGAAAAGCAGTGATGTTATATATAATTTATAGAACTGATAATCACTTTAAATCTTAACCAATGCCTTCTGACTTTTGGGATCAGCATAACAGTATATACATGGCTATCAGGTTGTTTTGTTGATGTTGTTACTCAATATAAGGAACTCCAACGTCATTTAATAGGCTCTAGTACATTTTCCGTGGCTACAGGGCATTCTATTGTATGATATAGCTGATTTATGTAGTCATTCTCTGTGTAATCCAGATTGCTGTCCCCTTTTAGCTAGTATAAATAGCACTGCCATCACATCCTTATAGAGGAATCACTGCCTGTGTGTCACCAATTGTTTCCTTAGCATAAATTCCTGGAAGTAACATTAGTGGGTAAAAGGTTAGGGATCTTCTTTTAAGGGTCACGATATATCCTGCCAGAAAGCTTTTCAGAAGAGATCTAGTGAATGCACTTCAGCAACACTGAGCATTATCATGTCCAGAGGACTAGACAGGTTGCTTTGGTTTTAAGATTAGCTTGGATTCCCTCCACCCCTCTCCTGGTATTTTCAATGATGTAAAAATGAGTGTAATATCCTCTCAGTGCTCAGTTTCTACATGAAAGCAATACTTATGTCTCTAGATTATAACAGCCTAATGCTAAGAAGCAAGGAAAGTACACAGACAGATGAATAACCATACCTTGGGACACTGAATGCCTAGTTGATGGTGGGGCGGAATCAAGAGAAATGGGAGGAGTGCGTATTCAGCTAGCCCAGAACTCTGGAAGAAGACTAAATAGAAGGAATGAGGAGTGGATAGATAAAGGCTCCCGAGCCAGCATTGCACTATGGAGAAGACATAAAACTTGCATTTATTCCTCTGTCAGAAGTGGCCCAGGATCTGTAGCCCATGTGCCTGTTGTAGTTCAGGCCTGGGTCAGGGCTGACCTTCAGACCTGGAATTGATACTGAAGCCATTAAGGCCAGTCTCTTCTGGTATTATCTCTCTTGTCTTTATCCTCTCCCCTAATAAAGAGATGGAAAACCCAAAAGCATCCTGGGTAATATAATTCCAAATCAATGAGTGCCTGTTTGCTGGAGAACATTCCTTTATGATTTGCCTTAG